GCCTGCCTTCACCACACCTCCGATGGCTCCGATTCTTCTTGGGTTATGTTCACAAGATAGCAGGCTTCCTATCTGGGTTGGTGGTGTCGATCACCTCCACCGTACACCGCCGAAACAGCCGCCGGAAATCGCCTCTCCGACGAGCTCTCAAACCTCCGGGGACCAAAATGAGAATTCTGATTTGCACAGTAACCCTCCATAATTTATAAACCAAAAATCTGTCACTGTTCAAGTTTGCAAATAAGTCCCTGAAACTTCAAACGAGCATAACTTCTTCGTTTCAACTCCGATTCATGAACCGTTTGCGCCTACGCGTTCGTGAGATCAATCTCGATTTTCCAATTCAAAAATCATAATTTTCCGTTTGCGCCTACGCGTTCGTGAGATCAATCTCGATTTTCCAAACCAAAAATCATAATTTTTTCGCTTCAATTTCTTGTACTTCCTTTGTAAAATCATAAACTTAATCATAAGGGTATTTTGTCCCAATTTGAGATTAAGTCACTTAATTCCAATATTTCCACACCAAACCAAAATCATACAATATCCAAAATAGTCACACGACTTAATAATATTTTCCACAAAAATAATAAAACCAAATATTATTTTTGAGGGTATTACAATGAACTCTTGTCTATTGTTGTTTTTTTTACTCCATACCACCACTAAATTGTTCATGAGTGCTAAGAATAAGAATATGATTTGAATATTTAGATTTGAGAGGATATTATTTGAGGGTTTGATTTTGGGTTTGAGTTTGAATTTGAAGATATGATTTGAGGGCCTAGAGTCACTTAGGATTAGAGAGTATTATACAAAAGACCTCAATGTTATTAAGAGTGGAGCCATTCATTATATGGTACTTTCTATTTTGTTGAATTTTAATTTAGTAAAAACTGTGTGGTTTCTTTGATACTCAGATTTTACAATCCAAAAAAAAAACCCGAGTTTTGCGGAATTGGCTCCAGCAATAGCAATATAGGATTTGTGATCATCACAGAAACAAAAAATGAACCAACAAAAAGCTACTTTGAGTCCTCAAATTTATATTGTATCATTGTAATTCTTTTATATAAAAAAATCATATATGATATATACTTATCAGACAGAGAGATTGCAATTGTTTCGTTTGAGAATAAGGATAATGTGCATGTACGTTGGGGATTGCTGTACAAATATGAAGTCTATTTCTTATGGCATCCATATGTGTCAATATGACCTCTTTTGTACATGAGAAAGTGGAGGAAAAGAAAAGGCCAATGAAAATTCATAAGAAAAATTAGAATACGATTCATATTAAAACATTCAAGTTTACCAATACACTTAATTAGAGTATTCGCTCTCAAATTCTTAGTGAACTCATAATCATAGTACATGTTCCTCAGGAATACTTCATCCTATAAAAGCACTTAAAAAACACTCCACCGTCGGCAATAATTTATATTCTTTGCATTATGAGCATTCATATATTAGTTTTGCAATCTTTGGTGTGGAATATATTACTTCTGCCATTTCCATGCAAATTTAGATTGTCCTGTACGTAATGCAAAAGAATTTAGTACAAAAAATTACTTAATTTTATAATTTGATAAGAATGAATTTAAGGTTTATACCTGCTGTTTTATGACATTACCCTGTAGTCCCAAAGTTTGATCTTGAACTACACTATTTATGTTATGTAGACCTCTCCATGTTGGAAAATAATTGTGACTCTATATGAAGAGAAAAAAAGGTAAATTTATGTTTTGGGTTAATAGAAAGATAAAATTGCCTTCTTGTGTGCACGTGCATCAGTTTCAACATTATGGTACCTTAAAATGCTAAGTAGATATCAACTCATATCATCTTATTCTTAGGTGCAAATGTGCTGTGGGGAATGCTGTGTCCATGTATTATTGGAAAAAAAAGTGAAAAGAAAACTACTTTCTGAATTCTTAGGACTAAATGGCGCTCTCTCTCTCTCTCTCTCTCTCTCTCACATAGCTTGCTATTTGAATATCAAGCAAAGCTTTGGCACAGTCCCGCTCACCTAAGGACCTGAAAATGAGGTCCTGTGAGGACCAAATTTATTTTAACCACAAGATTATATTTAGTTAGATCCAACCGTTTAAAATATTTTTCAACTTAAAAGGTTACCTTTTTTTAGGCTTAAATGTCAAAATAGTCCCTCTGTGTGAATGTTAGCAAATGTGATTATTTCCGTCAAAATTTTGTTGACACTGGAAAAAAAAAATTAAAATAATTTAAAAACTGTAATTAATTATTAAATATCCAAATTCAATCTAAAAATGGAATTAATAAAAAAAATTGCCTCCCCAAATTTTAGGCTCATACCTCAACCATCTCCTAAACCCATAGCCACTCTCACTACACCCAATTTAATCCCAAAAAGTACACATTATGTGCTTGCGGTGGAGAAGGAAGATGATTGCAACAAGAAAATACGATTAACTCAATAACTTTCTTTGCTACAGAATGCAAGAACATGGCTTTTAATAATTAAGTTTTTTATTATTATTTGAATTTGAATATTTATAATCAATTTAAATATTTTTTTTTCTTCAGTTTCAACATAATTTTGATGAAAAGGACCACATTTGCTAAAATATACAGGGACTAAATTGGTCAAATTGATAACATGAGGACTAAATTGGCCAATGAGTTAAAACACAAGAACCATTTCAACATTTAAGCTTTTTTTTATATTGGGAACTTTGTTTTCTTTCCAACTCCTTCGTCAATTCGACTCTCCCTCTTAGCATGGCGTTCCAAAAACTAACACCAAGATGTAGTGGATTTGACTAGAATAAGAGCTATATAAAGGGATTTGTGTATTGGGTTTGCTTTTTTTTTTTTTTTCAAGTATTGCAGACATAGTTGAAGTTTGGTGGACATTGAGTTTGTTCTTAGTCAAATTCTGTGTGGGTTTAGACCTGCAAATTATTCAAATACTTCACCGAGCCACTAAACTCAGTTTTTTGTTAGGGGTTTAGTTTATGGTAGGGGTGGGTGCGGTCCAGTCCTGTCCGGTTTCCACCTCACACTGGAACTGAAATTGATACTATTTAACCAGTGCAGTTTGGTTTGGTTTTGGTGAAAAAAAATTATGAAACCGGGTAGTCTGGTTTAAATCGATTCCGGTGTGGTTTTCAATTTTTTCGGTTTCAGACCAGATAATTTTATTTTTTTTTTCTATTTTTTTTTTTTTTTCTATTTTTTTTTTTTTTTCTATTTTTTTTTTTTTAAATTCAAACTTAAATTTTATTTTTTGGGCTTAAAAATTCACAAATGATTCAATTTCATGAAAAGAGAGATGATTGGGCCTAAAAAAGAAAGGTACTTTGAAGTTGAGCTTGGGGAAATATTAGTTATGGGATTAAAAATTTAGCATTGAACTTAAATAATTTTCAAAAATATATATAAAAAAAATATGCAGCTAGTTCGATCCGATTCGATTTTGGTAGGGATTCCTGTTTTTGCTGATTCTGCTGGACTAAGCAGTTCATTATGAGAAATAATAATACTATGTTGTGCTCTATCTGGGTAAATACTATCCTCAAAACATTCTGGGGGTATGCTGGGGAAATCTAATTTTACGCTCTTCCAAAGAGGAAGATAAAAACTTATGACTTCTTTTAATTTTGAGGAAAATGAATCTAAATGATCACTATTTTCCATATAAAGTTGACCTAAATAACCATGCTTTGCTAAAAATGCTGGAGTAACTGTGATAGTTTTTTGTTTATGCTCTAAATGCAGTTCTCTATATTCAACCATGTTAATACTAGCTAAGTAAATAGTATAATGAGAACAGCTTTTGGTAATAATTTTTATACCAGGATGTGGATTAGTTTTTAAATTGAAAAGAAAAGCTTGAATGTATAATTGAAGAGATGTATTTTGCTCATATTCTATCTAATCATATGACTCTAAACATCTTGTGGTAAAAATCTATAACTCTCTCTAGCTAGAGTTTGAAGAAAATATGAATTTTTAGTTTTTTGCTCAAGGGAAAATTCTCTATTATGCTCAAGTAAGTTGGGCTCATTAGCCTCTTTTTCTTGTAAAACCATACTTAAATTAATGATTCTAAATTTTTTTACTATTGTATCATACTCCTTCTTTTGCTCTTCATGTTTTTCCTGCAAAAAAGAAAATTGTTGTTTTGCTCTTTTATAGTCATAATTCTATGCTAAAAACTCTTGCTCAAGGGCTCTAATAAGTTTTTTATTCCCTTTTCTCATGCTTTCAGTATTAGTTCTAATGTTCCAAAAGTTGTCTAAAAGAACTCTTTGTTTATCTGCTAATGATGCTTGAGTACGATATTTTAAAGCTGGATTTCTAACTTCTTGTATTGAAATTCCATTATAAAAATAAGTATTTACTATTGATCGTGCTTGGCTATTTATGCTTAATGGATTACCATATTGTGATGGTGTACCACTATTTTTGCTGCTAGAAGATGATGGTCCAAAATATAGCATACCTGTTAATGAATAATACTGGATAAGATGTTTGCTAAAGTATTATCCGTACCTTTAATATGCTCAAATATCGGTCTAAATCCATTTCCTGTAATAGAATCAACAAAATTGACCCATCTTCGGGCTACTTGTTTATTAGTAGTAATTTTATTATAGTGTGAAACAATATTCTGACAATCTGTTCTAATAGTAAATATCTCATTATGTAAAAATAATGAAAATTCTTCAAGGGAGTTAATGACTCCTAAAATTTCTAAGTCAGTAGCTGGAAGTTTAGCCTGTATATCATTACATTTTCCTGATGCATATCTACAAAAAATTTCTTCATAATTTGGTTCTTCCTTATGTTTCTTCTGATATAATATTCCTGCCCATCCTATTGATGATGCGTCTGTCTCAACTATTTTGTAATTATTTTCTAATGGTAATGCTAAAGATTTAAGTTGAGTTATATCTTGTTTAATGCTTTGAACTAATTTAATGTCTTCACTATTAAAATATTTCTGACATGTTTTACTAGTTTTACTATGTAATGCTGCAATTTTTCTTCCTAGATCAGGGATAAAAATTCTAGCATAATTTAATAAACCTAAAAATGCTTGTAATTGCTTTTTATCTTCTAGTTTATCTAGAAATTGTAATACTTTTTTAGCTATGTGCTCTTGTAATTGTATAGTTCCTGACTTAATATACATACCTAAGAATTCTATATCTTGTTTTTCAAGTTCTACTTTATTTCTACTGATGATTATACCATTATTTATAAATTCTTTCTAAATATTTTCTATGTTCATTTTTGTTTTTACTATGAACAAGTATATCATCTACATATACGCTACAAGTATATCATCTAGCTCATGTAAAACTGTTTTCTAATTTTTCTTTTTGCTTTTATTTGGCTACATTCTAATCGTAATATATCATATACATGTTGTATTCTTGCTCCTATAGATACATCTAGTTTCCTAGGGTGTTTTTGCCATTCATTCCAAATTCTTTCTCCTATTGGTCCTTTAATTTTTGTCATATAAGTATCTAATAAATTAAGATCATCAATTCTTCCTGTTCTACCTAAATACTTGAAAAAGTCTGAAGTATATTCACTAATATATTGTAAATCACATATTTGTAATTGTTCTAAATTTCTTATGGCTCTAATTTGTTCTTGTTCATTTCTATCACCTAATCTATTATGATATGAAAATTCATATTTAATTAATTTAACAAATGCATCTATATTAAACATTTCTTTTGCTATTTGATGTTCTCTTGGATTTTTAGTTTTCCATGCTTGAAAATAATCAAAAACCATTCCATCTAGAGTATGCTCAAAGTAATCTAACATATCTTTATTATTGCTAAAATCTAACATTAATGCTGCATGTACACATCCTTTTTCCCATCTTTCTATGGTTTTTTTCCCAATCTTGCTACATGATCTAAGTTTAATATATTTCCTGCTAAACTGATTTGTTCAATTCCTTTATAAGGGATTCTATTTTTTCTTAGTCCGTATGTTTCTTGTTGAAAAGCACTCCTACCGGTTTCTTCATTATTTTCTCTACATGGTTCATTAGTTTGCCTAAGATTTTGCTGGTCTGTTCTACTTCCAGGAGCTACAGATGGTCCAATTGAACTATATTGGTCTTCTACTGGCATGCATTCTACTTCAACTAACATATTTTGATATTCTTTTTCTCCTAAAATATATTCTAATCCTATATTTAAAATTAAATCTTTCATTTCTTTATCTGATAATCTATGTAATCCTAAATCATAAGTCTTATATTTTTCTATATAATCTTCTTCATCTAAATTATCTATGTCATTTATGAGTTTATCAACTATATTATCAAAATTATGCTCAATCATATTTATTTCTAAATTATCAAATGCCATATGTATTTCTTCTTCTACTTCACTTTCTAAGTCTTCTACATCATTTATTTGTTTATAATTAGTAAATCTTACTATTGCTTCACCTATATAATATTCAAAAATTTGTGCTTTATCAGGTTGTCTATTTTTTGCTACTTGTAAATTGGGTAAAATCCATTATGTTCCTTCTAAAAAGCTATTATCTACTAGTTTTGCCTCTATCATATTAACATGTTTACTACCAAAAGTTTGTACTAAATTTTGAAATTCTACATTAAATTTGTAATTATAGTTATCTGAAAATTTTCCTACATACATAAGACTAATACTTAAATTTTTGTATTCACCTTTCATATTATAATTTTTCATTCTTATGCTAATTTTAATATGTCACTACTACAAAATTGTAAAACAACGACACCAAATAGACGACGGTGAAGTTTAAAACCATCGTTGTATTTTAAAAAACGACGGTTTTACAAAACTGTCGTAGTATGCCATCTTATACACCACTAAAATCAATTTGTGTAGTCTCGATTTTTAAAACACGACACTTGTAAATTACAAACGTCGTCTTTTAAAACACGCTAGCTCTTTTTTCTTCTTTGTGAAAACACGCTAGCTCCTTAAGAGAGTTCGCTCTAGACCTAAAAAATTTAGATTTCCCCCAAGCTAGAAAACATTCACTCCTGAACTCTCGTGGCGCCCTCTCAACTCTCAAATCTTCCTAATCTTCCTCATCTCTCTCCCTTCCTGAACTCTTGCCCTCGACCAGACCTCCAAGAGAGACTCCTCCGTCGAAATCGATAACCCAACTTCGTCGTCACATATCTCTCTTCCCTTGGTAGCCTTTCGTTGCTGGTACAAGACCTAGCGGTTTCGATTTGAAATCCTGAAACGACGGCGTTATATAAGCGACTACAGAGAAAAGTCACAGCACAAGGTAACAGTGGTTGTTTCAAACCTGGCGGCTGCCGCTGTAGTTTGAAGCATCAAGCTTTTCAATCTACCTTGCAATTCAAATGTCGTCGGCATCGTAGTGGCAGTGGGAGACCTCCATTGTCGGCGCCGTCGTTGGGTTTGCCACCAATGCGGCGATGCATCCCCTGGTTGCTGTATGAGATTTCAATTCCACGATGGTCGAGTCTCCAATCTTCCAACTTACACGAACACGGCTCATGCCATTTATGCAATTTCATTTGTTTTTTTTTATTCCGATTTCACTTCTGGGTCTTAGATTTATTTTGATTTACGAATTTTTGAAGTTTTCGTTTATTTTCCTATTAATGACTTAGTTTTTCTGTGCAATAAAGTTTCACATTGGCTTGGATTGTTTTGAAGCGACTTGGGAACAGGTTGGTTGAAAATTAAATTCATTACTTCTATGTGTTTTTCTCTTTCTGTGGATTTTGGGGCTTTGGGGATTTTACTTTTGGGTTTTTATTTCATCCGTGTTGTTCTATTCCTTGGTTTTTATTTCTAGTTGTGATTTTTGTTCTCTAGCCCATGTGTGATCTATAATTTCCTGATGCTATGTGTAGGCCTGCTTAAAACAGATTAAAAAAAAAAATTGTAAGTATAGGTGGGTGTGGGTAGTGGAGGATTTTGAAACTTTCAATTCTTAGACCCCCTGAAGTAGAGTTTTCTTCCCCCTTCCTTAATATTTATTTTTTTAATAATGAATATAGCATTGGTGCACAACATTTGGGACTGGAAGAAGACAAATACAACAATAAAATACTATGTGATTATTCTAAGAGTTGGTTTTGTTTTCACTCTCAATGCCATTCCTGCATTTTATTTTGTTTTTTTAACTCTAGAAAACAAACACATGAAACTTGAATTTTTTTTTTATGTCTATGCCCCTGAATTTGGCTGACTTTCTTTTTCCCCTATTTGTTTTTTATGTGCAGCTCTTTTGAACTATAAGTTGAGTCAGAGTATTTCTTTTACTTGATCAAATAAGTCTCTCCAGGAATTGCCAAAAAAAAGAAATGTAATGGCTCTAAGCTTTAGGATTTTCTATTGAAAGCCTATGATATTTGTTGTATTATAAGTCTGGAATGTATTGAACTTTGTGTTCTAATATAAGTATGTCACTGAATCTCTGTTTTTCTGCACAAAGTTCATTTCAGTTAATTTGAGTCCCAGAAAATTGAGTTCTCATAGCATTCAAATTTGTTCATTACATTCAATTGATTTCTTGGTCTTTTGGGAGGAAGTAAGAGAGATTTGAATCCTGTTTGTTCATTACTCAAACAATTTCTAATTAGAAACATGTGCTATGTATTGATCCTAATCTTGTTTTCCTGTAGGATCTTGAAAAAAAAATTAACAGGTTATTTGATTAATTTTTTTTCACAAGGTAATATCATTTTATTCACTTTAAGTATTTTTGTTATTGGGTGCCTTTTTTTTTTATGGAGCAGGGAAGGCATTGCAAGAGAGGGAAAAAGCTGCCGAACAAAGAATGAGATTTTGGGAAAGATACATGAGAAGGGGCATTGGACTATAGCGATTGAAGAGAGGAAGAAAGGCTTTGTTATATGTTGGGCACAGAATAAGAAAGGAAAGAGAAAGGGTTAATATTAGGAACCATGTAATTCAGGTATCATCTATGGATGTGGTAGAATTTGTGAGCAATCACATGTAGTTCCATTGTTTCTAATTCTATGTAATAAAATTGAATCTTCAACTTTTATGAAAGAAATAATTTTTGAGTATATATATTCATTCATAAAGCGTTATAATTGATTTTCTAGTTAAAATCTTTGTATAGAATAATTGGAAACAAAAAACTAAAATGTAACAGCTTGGGAACTTATTAGACGACATATTTAAAGAAAATAAAACAATGGTTTTAGTGGAAAAATCGTAGTTTGTACATATAATCAATGACCGTTTTTAACACAATACCGTTGTCTTTATATACAATCAATGGCGCTTTTTAATAAAAACCGTCGTCTTTACCCATAAATAACGACGGTTTTTATAAACCGCAGACTTTACCCATAAACAACAACGGTTTTTAACAAAAAAATGTTGTCTTTACATTAGAACAACGACGCTTTTACTAAAAACCGTCGTCTTTACATCTAATAGACGACAGTTCTTTCAAAAAAACCGTCGTCTTTACATCTAATAAACGACAGTTTTGAGTAAAAGCGTCATCTTTAGAAATAATATACGACGGGGATTTACCGTCGTGGTTTTATGCATCAAAAGATGTCGGTAGATTTCACGACGGTTGAAAAACCGGATACACGACGGTGGATTACCGTCGTCTATTGCGATTTTTGTAGTAGTGTGTTTACTAAATTCTCTAATATTCATGACATAATTAGGAATACATCCTATAACTGCTAGGTTTGTGCTAAGATCTACTTCTGCTGTAGTTGTGGCTGCTTGCTGATGGTTATCTCATCTGTCATCATATATGTATACTAATGCTTTAGTTCCTACTTGTGCTCTTGTGAGTCCAGCTATTCCTATCATAATTGTTCCTACATGAATTTGTTGATAGTGTGACTTTTTAAGATGTTCTATTGTTGTATTACTAAGTAAATTAAGAGTTACATCTTTATCTATTCAACTCACTTCATGTTGACTAATGCTACTTACAATACTATGTTTATTTTCAAATCTTCCTAATTGATATAAATTATATGGCTTATTATCACAAAACATCCCTGACGTTTGCAAAATTATCACATTGCATCCCTAACGTTTTTTTGTATCATTAATGGTCCCTAACGTTAATACAGGTACTCTTAAATAGTCCCTCTGTCAAAAAAACCGTTAAATCCAAGGGTATAATCGTCAAATCAATCCAAAACTATAATTTTTTTTCCTTCTCTTCTCTTTCTTTTCTTTTCTTCTTCTTTCTTCTTTCTTCTTTCTCTCCGCCTGGCCCCGCTCACTCTTCTTCTTTCTTTCTTTTATAGAAAGAGGCTTATTGTGAATTTGTGATGCAGAAGACCACAACTGGCTCTGTTCTTGTTATTGCTTTCACTTTTAGTCAAAAGATCCATTTTCACCAACCAAAACCCAAAAAATAAAAACCCTTTTGTGTGAATCTGTTGGCTTTTTCTTTTTTGTTGGGGGTGTTGTCGATAAACCCAAAGCAGGCAGGCATTATGAACGAGGCCAAATAACTCACGCAGATTTCAGAACCTTTGTCTTGGGTTTCTCAGTCATTTTCAGCTTCAACCATTTGGCATATAAACCCCATTGAAGGGCAGGAGCTCTCAACAGCACCTCAAATTGTGACATTTTTATTTATTGTAAAATCCAAATCACATCTCTGGATCTCTCTCCCTCTCTCTCTCTCTCTCTGTCTGTCTGTCTCCTCTAGCCACCCAAACCAAACCACCACCCCGACCACTCTAGCCACCCAAACCACCACCCCGACCACCAAAGCCACCACCGTGGGATCTTATATCCCTGCCCCTCTCTCTACTCTGTCTGCAACTCTCTCCCTGCCCCCTCCCACAGCCCACCAACCCATCTACTCTAGCCACCCAAACCACCACCTCGACCTCCATAACCACCACCGTGGGATCTTATACCCCTGCCCCTCTATGTACTTTCTCTGCAACTCTCTCCCTGCCCCATTCCACAGCCCACCAACCCAACATTCTAGCCACCCAAATCACCACCCCGAGAGAAGGAAAGAGGAAGAAAAAAGAGAAAAAAGAAAAAAAAAAAGAGAAAGAAGCCAAATTATATTTATTTTTCTGAGATTTTTCAAAACCTTTTCTAAGAAATTCTTCTGCTTCTTGTTCACTAGGGTATATATCTTCTGTTCTAACTATTTCTTTTCCTTTTCTTCTAAAGAGTTCCATTTACTATTATCAAAGGGATTTATTCTACTTTTTCTTTTATAAGGATTATTTCCTGAGGTTAAATTTTCTAGTTTATCGACTAAGTCTTTGGGTAGTGTTGAAGTAGTATTGTGCACTACTTGATTAATTTTTGTTATTTGTTCTTCTAATTGATCTATTTTTTCAGTTAGATTTAAAATTAGTTGGATAATTAAATTATTTTGTCTTATAGGGATATTACTACTTACTATAGATGTTGTAAATTCTGTAAGACCTACTGGTTCCTTATCTAGTTCACCAACTTTTGCTAATGCTTTGATATATTTATTATTAATTTTAGAATATGTCATTAAACTAAAAGTCTATCTATTTTATTATGTAACTTTTCTACTTGTTCAGTTAATGTTTTTTGTACTAATTGTATTTTTTTCACTTCTAGTTTTAATTGCTCAATGATTTCTAATTATTGGAGTTCTATTTGTTTTGGCTTGATATCTATAAGATCTATAAGGTCTTTGATTTCTTTCTTACTACCACTACTACAATTATGGGAAACCACAACTGGAATTAGAAGACGGTAAAACTAAAAAGCATTGTATTTTGAAAAACCACGAAACCGTCGTGCTTTAAAAGCGTAGATAAAAATTACGACCGTTCCTTTTCTAAGACTGTCGTGTTTTAAAACGTGCTGGACAAAAATTTCCCATAAGTTCTAAATTTTCACGGGGGCAGCTCTCTCTCGCGACATTTTTAGAAAACTCTCTCTCTCTCTCTCTCTCAACTCCCTTTCTCATCTCTGAAACACCATCTCCATCGCGCCATCTTGGTCTCCGAGCTTGCCATCCAGGTCACATATCTCGCCGTCCAAGTGACTGAGGTCGCCATATCCCTTGCGTCTAGGTGATTGAGGTTGCCAAAATTATCGCCATGGGTAAAGCCAGAGTAGCTGCTAGCAAACGAAGTGATACGAAGTGAGTTTCTACTTGTCTTGATGAGAATACGCTCCGATTTTGTTGATTATTTCGTAGATTTGTTATATGTTTCGATCCTTTGATTTCTGTTGTGCTTATGGATTTTGAAATTTTGCTTGTGATTGAATTTTTTAGGTTGAAGAGTAAGAGTGTTGTTCTGGAGCGAGCAAGAAGCCGGCGAAGAAAGCTGGAAAGGATCCAAACAAGCCGAAGAGACCTGCTAGTGCCTTCTTTGTTTTCATGTACGGTCAACTCTTTTTCTCTCTCTTGGTTTAAGTTTGAGATCTGACTTTATCTTCGTTTTACTTTTCTTAATCTTAATTTCCTGATTTTTTTTCACTTTGATTTGTGATAAATATAGGGAGGACTTTAGAGAAAGTACAAGAAGGAGCATCCAAACAACAAATCCGTTGTCGCTGTAAGTTCATCTTAACCTCTCAGATCTACTCACACTTTCCTATGTTTAGGGCCTTCAATTTCACTGGTAGGTATTTAAGTGTTTCGTTTGAGTAGGAAAGAGGAGAACTTGATTTAGCCCCAATGCCCCTGTTTTCAGTTTCAAATAAATTCACTCTCTTATCGGCTGCGTAATGTTTAAATCTTAGCATTGGCAATTATTCTCCCCAGAGTTATTAGTTACCAAATAGCATTTTGTTTGTATCAGGAAATTGTTGATATGGCAATTGTTGCTCTATTTCAAATTGGCTTGATAACAGTAGTGGGTTATACTCCCAAGTTGATAACAATATGTGGTCTTCAGTCTCATAGCCTCAAGCCATATGTTTGTTGTGTTCAGTAAAAGCAGGAGCATGACAATTCTCAAGGAGGTATGTCCTTATCCTTCTCTTCTACGATACATAATGAGGGATTACGTTTTGTTGGTGTTCTCTGTCCCTTATTGTGCTCGGGAATTGATGATAAATTTTTTGAGTATCTGCCTTACTTCTCAAATGGTTGGCTATGTCTTCCATAGGCTTTGAGGTTGGTTTCATTTCAAATTCTATTTATAATCCAGATTGAGATTTATACCATGTTTCGGTTACAACGTGAATAGTTTGGGGTACTTGGGATCATAATATTATAAGATTTAGTAATCTAGATTGGTACAAGTCTGATTTTTGAGTGGTCAGCAAGGAATTGCGTGGGCTTTTTTCTCTCACTATTTTGTTCTCTTTATGCTGTGATTAAGAAGAAATATGGTCAGGATGCAACTAATGCTGGTGACGAAGGTGGATTTGCACCTAATATTCAGGTTAACAATAGTTTGATGAAACCTAATCATTTAACTGAAGTTGCTATTATTCCTTGTTATTCCTTTCACATCTCTCTACTGATATCAATTGAAGATCCATTTGACCAAGATGACTAAGAACACTACTCCAAGAGGACAACTGAATGTGGAGAGCAAGTACAAATTGTGGGAGATACAACAACCATAGGTTAATACTTTGGATATGGTATTTTGTAATTATAGGTTAATGCTATGGATATGGTATTTTGTATGGATATAGTAGGAATCAAGATTGGTAAACCGTGTAATTACTATTGAATCTTCAAGTTTTATGAAAGAAACAAATTTTTAGCATATATATGTATGGTGTGGGTGTTTTGGACCTAAATTTATTGTTCAGAATGCATTATGGTTGTTTTTCTAGTTAAAATCGTTGTAGAGAACTGTTGGAAAAAAGAAAAAGAAAAAAAAAGGAAGCTAAAATGTAAAATCACTACGTCATTTTTACAAATAATAAACGACAATTTTTAATAAAACCGTCGTCTTTAGAGTTAATAGATGTCGGTTTCTTTCAAAACCGACCTCTTTGGATATAATAGATTACGGTTTTTTAAGATAACCCGTCGTGTTTACACTTAATAGACGATGGTGTTTCTAAAAGAACCGTCGTCTTTAATATTAATAGATGACAATTTTTCTAAAAGAACCCTCGTCTTTGGACATAATAGATAACGGTTTTTTCAGATAACCCATCATGTTTTCACTTAATAGACGATGGTTTTTCTAAAAGAACCCTCGTCTATAAGGTCTTTGATTTCTTTCTTACTAGGAAATCTTTGAATATTCTTATTATTATCTTCTAATTGAGATGTTATATAGTCTAAGTTTTGTCTAATTGTTTTTAAGGAATTTTTCTGAATATTCTAATAACTATTGAATTATTCTATTATGTTTATTGTGTTCAAATTTTACACTTTCTGCTTGACTAATTAAAAGATAAATAATACTATTTTCTAAGGGATTATTACTGCTATGTAAAAGGTGTTTGTGTTCTTTTTGTGGAAAGTACCAAACTAATGTATTATTATCTAAAGTTAATTTTTTCTTTTGTTGTTCACTAATTTCTAAATTAAGGTACTCTATCATATAAATTTATCTAAGTCCATCTTTTTCTTTTAAGATGCCTAAATGCTCTTGAAATGCTTCTATGGATTCTTTACAGACTTCCAAATGATATTGGTTTCTGGTAATTAAATTTTTTTTAACATATTATAAAACATTGGTTTTTATCAATTGTGTTGATTGACTTCTGTCCTCAAGGTACTTTACTATCATAATCATATTATTAAGGTGCTAAACTAAAGCTCTGATACCATTATTGAAGCGGGGGTCTCAGTCAAGGTTTTCTAAAGGCCAAAATAACAACCAGACCCCATGCCTAGAACATGGAACTAGAGCATGAAACTACAAAGACGCCAACTTAAATGGCTATGCAGAACTCAGAGGTTCCCTGACAGACATCCAGTTATTGTTATGGCAAATATAAAACATGACCAAGTGCGCAAACAAAGTATTGATCGTCAGTTTAGCAAGACAATAACATAATTATAAAAGTGTTTCCCTGTTTTGGACAAGAAGTCTGCTAAGAAAACCAAGAATAAAAGAGAAAAAGACTTACTTAATTGCTTTTGTTGCTGGAACTGTTATAACCGAGTATTAATAGCGGTCGGCGGTATTAACAGTGGTCGGAGTTAGAAAGTGTATTAAGAAGATAAGAGAAAGTATATGAACAAATGAAGTTTTATTGACTGAAGGAGGAAGTACTGAGATTTTTTCTTGTCTAGTATTGTTGTGTGTACTTCTCTCTTTGGAGTTACAAACCTATATACCACTACTACAAAAAACACTTTGCGCGACGAAATAATTTTGTTGCGCAAAGTACAATTTCGTCGCGCAAAGTTTGCGCGACGAAATTTTGGTCGTGCAAGTTCTGTCGCGCAAAGATCGTAAAGAAACGTTTTGCGCGACGAAATTTTTTTTTTATCTCGCAAAGATACTTTGCGCGACGAATACTAACGTCGCTCAAAGATACTTTGCGCGACGAATTATAACTACTTTGCGCGACGAATACTATCAACTTTGCGCGATGAATATTAATTACTTTGCGCGATGAATAATATTATTTTGCGCGACGAAAGTTAATGTCGCGCAAATCTTTGCGCGACGAAATATTCAATTTTTTAAAATTTTTGTTTTTTTTTAATTTTTAATTAAAATAAACTAGTTTAATAGTTTGCTCGACGAAATATTTTGTCACCCAAGGTTTTTGACATTTTTTTTTTATTATTTCTCTTATATCAATTTCATTATATTAATTTTTCAAATTTTTACTTTTTAAATTTAATTTAATTGTATGATTTTATTTTTTTTAATTACTTTAATTTAAATTGAAATATTCAAAATAAAATTACATATGAAAAATAGTGGTCAAATTATCCAATATATATAATATTCAAAATGTACACATAAATTAACAAAGTACAATAATAAAATCTACAAGCCTATTGTGGTGATAGTGGCGGAGGATATGTTTCGATAGCGTCCAAATCCTCAACTTTAGCCGTCAAAGTCTCGACGATTCCCTACAAAAAAAAAA